TCCACGGCACATAACAACAACAACAACAACAACAACAAGGTGAGTCCTGAGTCCTGGTGTGGCACTGTGGGTTAATGTGCTGGACTGCAAAGTTGGTTTGAGCAGCAAGAGTTTTTCCTATTTAAGGTGAATGCCAAACCCAACCACTGCCACTGAGTCAATTCCAACACATGTTGTTAAGTGCAGTCGAATTAGTTCTGACTCATAGATACCTTGTTTTGGGTTTCTGAGGAGCAGCTGATGGGTTTGAAGAGCTAATCTTGCAGTTAGCAGTCCAGTGCTTACCTTTCATGGCCACACCAGGTTTCTGAGACTGTAAATCTTTATTGGAGCAGAAATCTTCCTCTTTCTCTCACAAGAGGCTGGTGGGTTTGAATCACTGACAGTGTGGTTAGAAGTCCAATGATTAACCCTGCCAACCACAGGTAAATTTACCCAAAAGGGCCACATGTGTCAAAGTAGAATTGTGCTCAATCTGGTTTTAATGGCTGCTTTTTCAGAAGTAGAACATCAGGAACTTGAACTACCAATCTTTCCATTAGCAGTTATTCGCATTAACCATCTGTACCACCCAGGGGCTCAACAGCATTTCATCTACTCATCGTGTTATCTTTCCATTTGCTGATAATTCCAGAAGAAAAAAAAAAATCACCTCCATTACCATGTTCCAATACAAATGAACAAAATGTCAAAACTGTGACAGAACCTACCTTTTTTTTTTTTTTTAATATTCCAAGAAAGGCAGACTATAAATTCTGCAGAAGTCATTTAAAGTCATAAACCTTACAAATGTTTTCAGTGCGTCCTACTGATTGAAGTTTTCCAGTTGATTTGTCCACAGCACACTGCAATAACAGCCCCATGGCAACCAGAGCAACCGGCACTGATGAACTTTCCCAAGGGGCACTGCAGAGACAAGCCTGCTTTCCCTTTATGGCACTGATTTTGTAGTAAATCTTGTTTGTGATTTGGGGTTCAAGAAAGAACGGGCTCTCTACTTTTTAAGGTCACCCTCAGTTCTCAGAAGAAGATTTTCCCAATAATATCAAAAGCACATTGTTCTTCTTCCTCCATGAGGCTTCTATCTGGTGGGGGCAGAGTTATGGCATTCTGAGAACAGGTCCCCAGAGCCCACCAGGGGCAGGTTCTAGCTCGTGGAGAATTGATGAGGAGACAAGAGTCACTTAAAAACAGACATTTCCTATTGTTTTCCCCCATCAAACGATGACAGCTGAAGGGCACAAGGACCTCTGAGGGTTGGATAAGGCAGAACTGGATCCTCTTCAGAGACCCTAAAGCATTGGTGGTTTGTTGGTAGAATTCTCGCCTTGCACAAAAGAAATAGAATTTTGCAAGACCAATGACTTAATCATTGCAAATACCTTTTTTCAGCAACAAAAAACATGTTCTAATACGACTGAATTAAATGTCAAAACTGTGACAATATACATACATTTTAATGTTAC